TCGTCAGACTCAGGCTTGAGTTCGAAGAAGAACGGAGCACTTATGAGTTACACCCATGTGTCATGATGTTGATCCGTTGAATAAACATAATTTATTTATTTGGTCTTTTATGATCATTGGTGCATTGCCGAATCCATTAGTATGCTGTTGCTATCAATTGGTTTGTTCCCTCTGGGATGCTACCTGAGATTTGAAAAAAAAATTATCTCAGTCTGGATTGAAGACCAGCTGGCCAGAAACCCTGTTCAATCTCTTTAAAAAGTTATCATTAGGATACCTAAAATGGTTACACCAGCCCGATGTAACCTCCAATCCTTTGCTGATAAAGACTGCTGCTGTCGTCTGTTCTGATGCTTTGCAAACAAACAAAAAATTCATCAAGTTCAACCAGAATCCCTGAAGGGGGAGCTTTAGGTTATAACTGTGACTAGGTTATGCGCGCCAGATAAAATGGCTTAGCACTGCAAGCCAAAAAGAACCCTGAAAAGGACTCCTGCAGTGGTAATGCGATCAAAGGAGACTGACCAAAATACTGTCCTGACTAGCAACAAAGTTGTCTACCGGGGAGCCAATGGGCTTCAGCTGAAGTTTGAAGCTCTGCAACCAATAAACAGTGTTCCAGTTTTGTATGATACCATTTATCAGCTGATGAAATCTGTTCAAACCTGGATGTACACTGCCATATGCTAGTGCTACCCAGAAATTTTTTTCTTTGACAGAATCCTAGCCTCAACAAAATTGGTGAAAGTTTACAAAGAGGACTCACTGCACATCTAGTTACTAGACATCTAGCTCTATGTGCAACCAGCTTCTGTAAACTCATGGAAGGGACTCAAAGGTAGATTAGGCATTCTATCTCTTTCTTTAGCACTGAAACTAACAAATCTGAAAATCAACTGATACTATAACTTGCTGGTTTTTCCCATGCAGAGAAATAAGAATATTCAAAAATTTCACTTACATAAACTCATCAGTGCCTATACAGGGGGGGGGGGGGGGATTTGGGGGGTGGGGGGGGGGGGGGGGGGGGGGGGGGGGGGGGGGGGGTGGGGGGGGGGGGGGGGGGGGGGGGGGGGGGGGGGGGGGGGGGGGGGGGGGGGGGGGGGGGGGGGGGGGGGGGGGGGGGCGTCCAAATGATCAAAGTGATGTATGCTTAACTGATCAAAGTGATGTATGCTTAACATAAAAGGGAGTAGCCACAAGGCAGACCAAGAAGACGGTTGAGAGACAAATATACAAGCAGATCTATAAACACTTGAAGTCAGAAAAGAGAGAGCCAATCATAGAGATTAATGGACCACAAGAGAGACAGGTGATATCTGCAGTAGTGAACCTCAAAGGTTCAGCATGCTGAAGAAGAAGCAGATTAAAGGGAATGTTAACCCTTCACTAGCGCTACCTAGTTAATCAACTGTGCTGGGATTCTACATGTGCTGTCTATGTAAGGTGGCTGGAGAACTCACAGAGTTAACTTGTATGCAGATAATCCTTGTTCAAAGAGCCAGACCATCAGTAAGAATGTTTTTAATCTCAATTTTGTGTGTGTGTTCTTCAATTAAATCTTTAAAAAAAAATTTCTAAGATACATTGAGTATAACAGACAGCAAACCATATGTCCTGTCAAAACCCGAATAACTTCACATCAACATTTGAACTGCCATTTTGAAAAACGTGCCTCAAATTTTGTTCTTTGGGGTAGAGGGGAGATGGAATGAGCAGACAGAGTTACTACAAACAGAAAAATGTAACAAGAGCTGCACAAAGTACAGCAGTTTTGCAATTGACACCAAGTTGCTCAATGGCCAGAACATGAAATAGTTTTGTTGTTTCAACAAAGCACCAGGGATATAAAAATCAAAAGTTTCACACACAAACAGGCTGTACGGTTACAATGGAATTCTCATGAGCTTCAAGCATCTCCAATTCCAATTGTCCAACAAAAATTCCAAATTGGATCCTTTTTCAGCTGCCCGGAGGCCTGCTATATGAAGGCAGGTTCCTTGGCTATCTTATTTGGTTTCCTTTTATTTGTGGTGTGTAGTCACACCTGATATTCTGGTTCTTTGCTTCCTAAGTCCTGTGTGGTGCTTAGGGTTTTTGGGTCTAGTATAGTTCTCTTGGTGTCAGTAGCTGTGGGCTTTAGCTGATTGTTGCTGGTGCTTGGTTTACCTCGTGCTGATCGCTGCGCTGGTGCCCTATTGCTGCTTGGTTGCCGTTCTGTAAAGCCGCCAGGAAAAGCCAAAAAAACCATCCTGCTTCCTCTGCCATTTATCTCCTAATGCAGGGCTATTCAACTAAGTTAACTCACAGGCCACAACTTTAAAAATTGGGATAATCACAGGCTGGAGGCTTAAGCTCCAACCCTCAGCCTAGACAGATCAGTAATCAAATACAATTGGCAATGATCCGCAGGCTACTTGCTAGGTCTCCGTGGACCGCAAGTTGAATGGGCCTGTCCTAATGGAGCATAGCTTTTAACCATCCAATGCCAAGCTGCATCCTTTGCATTCCTGTGAGGTTAGCTTATCCCAAGTCCTATCTATTAATTTCACTTATTTTCCCTCAATTCCCTTCACTGTGTGGATGGGGGTCGTCTACCTTTACTTTTTTGATACTGTGGGTTTCATTGCAAAGGCATTCTAGTCATATTATTGTTTTTGTAATGTACCCTATCCAAAGCCAGCATCTTTTCCTCACCTCTGATTCAGTAGAATTTGTTCAGTTCTCTTGAAAAGCTTCACATTAATAATTTACCATACAAGCATCCTACTTATTTCAGAATAGTATAAACACAATCTACAGCTATTATATTTAAAGAAATGACTGATATCAACACACAAACTGTATCTCAGCTTACCTAACTTTATTGAGTTTCTAAAATGTCCTCCCTTTAACAAATGATGATAGCATAAAAATATAATTCAAACATCTTGCAGAGAGTTCATATATAAGTGAGTTCTACGTGAGATGTTGATAAAACAAAGAACATAAAGACAAGCTGGATGTTTCATCATGAAAGTAACAAAAACATAACTTCCACGGGATGACTCCTATGAGATTGATGTAGGCTCTTTTTGTCCACCATGTATCCACACTCAAAGTCCTCATGCACTTAGACCAGTTCCATGCGAAGCTGTGGTTCCAGGCCAGCATAAACAATATCGAGATAACACCTGAACCCTTGTTTACACAGCAAAAAACTCCAGGAACGAAAGAATTCAGATTCAGTATTCACCCCTCTTTAGTCAACAAATACTATTTGTTTTGCCCTGTAGATTCTTCTTCCATAGATACTTTGCTTCTAGATGCTGCGCCACTATCATCTCTTTAACTCACTTGCCCTGAGATGCTGCAAACCCTACATTTCTGTCCATCACAAATCCACCAAAAAAGTGCAAACCCTACATTTCTGTCCATCACAAATCCACCAAAAAAGCTACTTAACCAGCATTGCTGCATTTGGCCAGTCCCCGGCAGCCTAGATAGTGGCACTGGTTCTGTTTGCACCTGCAGTGTTTAGGAGGTCCGGATATTATTATATTTACTAAAAATAGCAACTTGAAAAGGAGGGGATGGGGTGTGAGTTTAAAGCCCTGATGATGTCAATGTTCTATTAGCCTTTAGTACTCGAGGACATGGTCGAGTCACCATATTTTATTATTTTTTTAGGCCCAGTGGAATCATTTGATAATCCGTCTCATTCATATATTTTCTTTAAAAAATTTTATTTATACATATATATAAAGAAATCTGTTTTTTGTTTTATTTATTAGTGATCTGTGTTTTTTCTAAGGATTTTTCTCTAAAGGCTTTTGGGAGCAAGAGAGGAAAACAATTTTTATTATAACAGACTTGCTGAAGCTATTTCATACCCAACAAATTTTTTAAAATAACCCCAAAAAAAACTCACTGAACAAGATCTAAAAAAAATTTTTTTGCAGCTTTAGAATTAAAAATGTCTTTGCATACCAAGATACACAAAATATTTCATTATATTTAGAGGAAAACTCTAAAAATGGCACAAGTAAAAAAATTCTAAAAGCAGCTGCCATTCTGTTCCATCCGCGATGGAGAAATCATATTATTTAAAAATATGCCCCTTCCCAAAGATTTCGATTATTTTCAGGAGTTTCAAATCTAAGCCATTTCTAGCAGTGACTATATAATTTGCTCCTCTGCATTATGTTACTGTATGAGTGCAATCACAGATTTTCTTACATAAACTCAGGTTCTCTACAACTTGTATAACTTGCATTACCTCCAGCATAAAAGCAATTAATTAGATTACACATTTAAAAAAAAAAACAAAAAAAAATGGTGGGGGGAAACTGATCCGTTTGTGTGATCTCTTTGTGCAATTTAGGTTTACAGGAAGTATCAGTGAGTAAATAACATTTTCACAAGCTGTCCAATAGACTTGCTAAGAATTCGCACAAGGATTACTGAACTTCTTTTATTCAGTCTACCCACCCCATCTCACAATGGCTGCCAAACCTTATCTTCCCACCCACCACACATTCACGCACTAAATCCCTGTATAGTATCTTCTCTCCCCCTACCACACATTCAGTGCTAAACCCCTTTTATTAGCAATATCTAACATCGCCATACACCAGGGTTTTCAACTAAGTTTACAGAGGGGCCAAAATTTGGGAAATGAGGATTGTCACAGGCCAGAGGGCTAAACCTTAGATATAGAAAGATCATTAATACAATACAACTGGCAATGACCCATGGGCCACTTACTAGACCTCCGCGGGCCGCCAGTTGAATAGCCCTGCCATACACTGACTACTAAAACCAAATCGTACTCCCCACCACATATTCCATACTTAACCCATTCCCAACCCCCACCACATATTCAATGCTAAACGTGTTCCCACCACCCCCCTACCACACCCTTTTTCTGTCTCCTGATCTCACCACAAACTGAACCCTAAACCCCTTCCCTCTGCACACCAAGAGAACACCAGCCAACAGCTACACAACTGCATATATACTTAGGCATCATCTCCCTCCTCCTCTTCCCCTTCCTCTTCTTCCTCCTCCTCCTCCTCTTCGTTATCATCTTGTTCCCCATTGTCGCCAGCAAAGCGCTTGATGTCGTCGTCCTCATCGTACTCTTCTCCGTATAATTCATCAAACCTCTCAATACAAGCGAAATTCTGCAGGTGCTCATCCGTTAATTCCACATTTCCAGGTCGGATAACAAGGGCACTACGCAGCCCAGCCGTTACAGCTGCCTCTGCCTCTGTGGAATAGAAACAAATAAAATGCTTAGTTAGGATAAACATGGAACTTACAGGACATGGTGCCTGAATTTCGGTCACGTCACAGGCATGAAGTTAAAATTGCTGTGCCGTGTAAATGGTGATACTCCATAACCTCACCTTGGGCACCATCAGGCTCTATGTGCTAGTTTGAGATAACCTCATGCAAGACCTGCCAAACATCCACTGTGGATACTGGCTAGACCGAACTGGCAGGGGATCTCAGTGGCCCCTAGAGATGCAGTACCTAGAAGTAAAATATCTATCGAAGAAAAAAAAACTGTGAGGCAAAACAGTGAAGCAAAAGAGTGTAAAACAAACAGAAGGTGGTAAAACAAAACAGAAGGTTGTCAAACAAACAGGTGGTAAAACAAATAGAATGTGGTAAAAGAATTAGGGGATGATAAATGGTAAAAGAAATAAAGGGTTGATAAATGGTAAAAGAAATAGGGGGTGATAAATGGTGAAAGAAATAGGGGGTGATAAATGGTAAAAGAAATAGGGGGTGATAAATGGTAAAAGAAATATGGGGTGATAAATGGTAAAAGAAATAGGGGGTGATAAATGGTAAAAGAAATAGGGGTGGTAAAACAAACAGAAGGTGGTCAAACAAACATAAGGTGGTAAAACGAATAGAAAGTGGTACAATAAATAGGGAGTGCTAAAACAAATAGAGGGGTGGGTGGCAAAACAAAGGGTGGCAAAACAAACAGAGGTGGTAAAACAAACAGAGGGTGGTAAAACATACAGGGTGGTAAAACAAACACAGGTAATAAAAGTGCCCAAGCAATACTGATCAGGTCACCCACTGAATGCTGACTGAAAAAGTATGCATTTAGCACCATTTACCCTATGTGCCAATAGAATGAGAAGGGTTCTTTAATTTTACTGCTACACGATGATAATCCAGAGATGTGTGGGTAACCAAGAATAGCCTCATCTAGAAAATGGCAACTATGATTAGCCTGACGTATGAAAAGGCAATAAAGAAAAGCCTTATGTAGGAAAAGGCAACACAGTAACAGAAGAAGTGAAAAAGTATAATCTATACGACTATACCATCAGAGAGAGAGACAGTCGTGGAAATTCACGGTAATCAAAGTGAAGATAGGAATTCCCTGACTAGTCACCACCACTTTAAATGTCTCATGATTTTCTGTGTATTCATTCAACATTTTTTTTGGGGGGGAGGGGCCATTTTATGTCACATAGAGTTCAGTCTCTTCTTTAATTCTGTTCTATTCTGCGGCACTACTTCAGTATCATGGATGGAATTCCGTCCAGTACTATGGCCTCTCTTATCAATGTTCGTCTTATCAGTTCTTTTGGAAGTCTTAGCCTCCTTAATCTGTTCCCAATTCCAGTGCCTACCTGGTGCTTTTCTGTTCGCTTCTCCCCGGAATATGCCCAATATATTACCATCTTCTTTGTCCTATAAGTGTTGATACCAGCTGTCATCCAGACATTTTTTTTTAATCTTTCTCTATATACAAGTTACATCACTTAATGTAATCATACCTTGGGGAATATCTGTAAGAAATAAGATAGAATTTGGTTCCACTTTAATTTCTGCAGCAATTTTCTTGTAGCTTGCACTGTCTGTTTTACTGCCTGTTGTAGTATCAAAGTAACCAGAAAACACCTGAAAAAAAATTTTTTTTAAATATATTTCAAACAAAACATGATAAATGGGTGGCATGTACATGGGCATGTTTATTAACAGCAAATATTAACATCAACCAATGTTTCTAATCAGTGGCTTTCAACCTTCCTAATGCTGCGACCCTTTAATACAGTTCCCTCATGCTGTGGCATCGGCTCTGTGGCTAAGTCGATGCAAATGCTTCGTAATGTCGGGATGCCGGGTTCGATCCCAGTGGTATCAAGAAAGCCAACCGTCCAGAAAGCAATGGCAAACTACTGGATGTAAATTTGCCTAGAAAAACCACACAACAGCCAGGGGCTGTTGGGGTTGGTTCTGCAACGTCCTGTAAAGGATACACAACTAACCATGCTGTGGCAACCCCCAAACAATAATTTTCCTTCATAACTTCAATGAATATCTGATGGTCTTAGGCGACTTATGTGAAAAGGTCATTCGACCCAAAAAAAGGGACGTGATCGGCAGGTTGAGAACCGCTGCTCTTCATGAACACTCATACTAGACACAATGAGACATTCAGAACACCAATTATAAGAACCCACTGATGGAAGATACAATGTTAGAGAAAGTAACACTTGCAAAACTAATTTAGAATTTACAATAAAGTGCTGATCCTTAGAGAAAAGACGCATCAAAGGAAGAGTATGGCCTGTGTACAACCAATGTGCTACTGGAACAGTCAGTACATTCGAAAACATTTGTTGCAGGAGAGACAGCATTTTTGGGTATGCCTATTATGCTATAATGCTTATTCTTAGATCAGTAATTAGTTATTAGAGATGTTCATGATTCCCCAGAACTCATATTCTCTAGCCTGTAATGAGGGTAAAACAAGATAACATGTTAAAAACCCGGGGGCTATTATAAATCATTATAAGCCGATCATCTACCCTGCTGCTCCGTCACAACTGCAAAGACAGGTAATCTACCCACAAGATAATATGAAGGCTATTCCAAAATCAACCTCCAGTTGGCTGCTTTAAAAAACAAAAACAAACAAAAAAGTCAGTCACACAGACACCGTTCATTGCTTACATCCTTCAGTAGCTTTTCAGCTCACTACTCACCAACCTAGTCGCATTTATTCAGGAGTTCACGTATCGCCAAAAAAACACACAAAAACTTGGACACTCCTGCCAGCTGTGCAATTCACGGTGTGATTCATTTTCTTCAAGCAGAAGGTCAAATTGCTCAGCTGACATTTACTGTATATCTTGACAGAGAAGGCGCACTGGCTACTGCTACTCTTCTAGGTGGCTAGCTACTTTATCACAGAGCATAAGTGGTGAAAGATTTCTGGGATCAAGCTGGCAGAGTATTTATTTATATCTGAAGCAAATGTCTGTCAACATGCTAGGAGAAAATCCAGGCAGACTTTTAATCAGGTTGCAACAGACACCATCAGCAGAGGAACTCTTTGCTGGCTACTAAGGAAGGGAACAGAGCACATTATGTAACGTAACTAGTGCAGTGATGTCAATTTTGGATTTATTCATACCTCTTCCCATCCCAGAAAGCTAACCCACAGATGCCCAGGAAAAAATTAACTATTATAACAACACTTCTAATAAAAAATCCTCAAGTGGATACATTTTAAAGGATACATACACCATACAACTGGCCACCATTGCAAAATCTTTATTTCTCAAGTATTTCCATCCAAATGTAAAAATAAATAACACAAAAGTTGTTGGCAGGGAAAGAACCAATTACAAGTTAGCTGTTTGAATGAAGAAAACTGTCTTTATTTATTTTCACTGTGTGTGTTATCCTCAATATCTCACACACATCTAATGTAGCCAAAGAACACAACCTCCACACAAATAATTACATCTAATGTAACCGAGGAGCAAAAACCTCATATATTTACTTACATCCGAGAGATCGCCTTGTACGGAATTTGCAAATAAAAGTTTCTGACTCTCAACACTGCCAGAGGAGTACACATACAGCTGCAAGCCTTCTTCTGCCAACATTTTCAGCATTGGAGCAACATCTTCAAACAGCCTGTGACCCGTAAAATAAACACGATGAAACATCCTCAAACAGCCTGTGACCCGCATAATAAACATAATGAAACATCTTTTAACAGCCTGTAATCATTATAATAAATGTAATGAAACATCTTCAAACAAACAAACAAAATCTAATGAAAAGTAGTAATTTTTACCCACTGATCCAAATTACACTGCAGACAAACCACTGATCCACCTACATGTGACAGTTCTCTGAAAACTATTCCAATACAAGCCCCACATGGAGAAAAGGTACAATGACTACTAAAACATATGCAAACATAAGTGACCTGAATATTCAACAAGAAAGAACAAAACAGTGAACAACAAAGTTTATTTCTTTTATGATGAATACTACATGACCTCTCGACCCAAGTCTACACAGACAAGGCAGCACAGAATGCAATTAAAAATTAATGAGTAAGAGCTACACAGAATACCCAGATGATATAGATATGGCCAGAGTACGTATAGTAAAAGTATTGTCACAACTATGGTGTAGCAATCAACAAACAATACAGCAACAAAGAAGCTACCTCAATACCAGTCCTGATTTACTGCCTGTGTTAGTACGAAATAACGAAAACTCTAGACACAAAATTAGACAATTTTGAAAATAAATGCCTTAGAAGAATACTAAATTTCAAATGGTCAGATTTCCGAACCAATACACAAATAAGGCAAGAATCCAGGCAAGAGTATGTGTCTAATTTTATACCAAAACGCCGCTGGAACTATGTCGGCCACTTCCCTTAGAATGGATAAATCAAGACTTCCTTACCAAGCCCTCATTTGGACACCACAGGGGAAAAGATCTCGTGGAAGACCAAGGGAAACTCTACGTAGAACTATCATCAGGGAAGGCTTGCTCATGGGCCACTCAAACATCCAAGACCTACAACAGATTGCAACGAACCGCCATGCATGGAGAGTCATGACCTCTGCCCTATGTGCCGCACTCGACACAAGAGGAAAGACTAACTAAAAAAATAATTAGTATGAATAAAGACACAAATCAATACTTCAGGACACTGTGTTGTACATATATGTGGATAAGCTGTACCTCACCTTGGGCGCCAGCAGGCTGTGTGTGCTGGTTTTTTGGATTCTCATACTAGACTCATGCCAAAAGTCCACCACTCCAGTTTAGAAAACTGTTAGTACTACACACACTTTTGTCTGAATTAGACCAGCGTGGATGTCAACTTAATGTGAGTACCTGGATACGAAAGAGCTAATCAACTAGCTAAGAAAAGCATCCTGGCATTCCAGTCACATACCACCAAAAAAAAAGAACCATCAAATTAATCAGAAAGCCACAAGTACCAGCGAAAAATGATTACAACAATATGGTCAGACCAGAACAATCATTATTCTGCCTCTGAATAACACATAACTGACTCCACTGATTCATATATTTGCAAACCCTGTGTGGGTTTCAGGACCTAATTAATGTGGGGTGGGAAAACAGGGAGGAAATCAGACCCTCCACCCCCTAACAAGCATGCCGTACACTGCAACTAATTTAGGCTTTGCTGGAATCAGATGTGTTGTATTGAAATGCAGATATCAGGGTCTTGCTGTAAACCACAATATGCCAGCCGTCCAATTTAAAGGCAAACAAAGAAAAAGAAACAGACACTGATGTAAAATTATATAAGAAATACCAACATAATTAACTCCTTCAGTACCAACAAGTGACATAGCAAATGATCAAAGAGGGAGGACATAAATACTATGAAAAAGGATAAATTAATGCTCCATAAAAAAAAAGACTGAATTATATTGTGGAGGCCATTGTGTATGCTCTCATCAAATGTAAGAAGATTTCCCCACACACTGTGCATTTGCTGGGGTCCAAAGAGTTGAGAGTATCAGTTGTCACAGAAGCTTGGAGAGTTGGCCCAGACTAGGAACCAGAGGAAGAAAACTGCAAGCAAGAAGAATCTACTTACTCTCCCTTGATTTCCTTAGATTCATATGCATCCTTCCATATCAATCCCTGCAAGTTCTTGAGCTCTGTTGTTTTTCTGTCTGCATCCATTTGCCCCTGCACATTAGCCACAACTGCCTTGATGACATCCTCTTTGCTTGCATCACTACTGGGGATTTCTACAACACCTTCAACAGTCTCGCTCTTTTCTTTGGCAGCCTAGACCAGAAACATTACAGGAACAGACATATTATAATGACATGGCTTAGAAACTGGATGTAAGATGAAATATGATTGTTGGGAAGAATTTAAACAAAATTATGGACAGAAACAATGACAAAAATAATGAGAATAAATCAGGCAAATAGTAAAATGGTTTCTCTTAATGGCACCCCACTCCAAGACGTGGAGTCATACACTTTTTTGGGCAGTAATGTAGATAAAGGTGGAGGAACTGATAAAGATATTAAAATAAGAATACAAAAGGCAAGAGGAGCTTTCATAGCACTAGGGAATTTGTGGAGGTCAAAAGAAGTTAAAAGAAATACTAAACTAAACATTTTTAATTCTAATGTCAAATCAGTACTTTTGTATGACAAGGAAACATGGAGAACAACTAAGGCAATTACAAAAAAATGTACAGACATTCAGAGGGAATTAAATGCCTTGATAGAATAACTAATGCAGAGCTTTGGGAGAGAACTAAACAGACTCCAGTGGACCAAGAGGTGGGGAAAAGACGCAAGATGTCGTTGGATAGGACACATACTGAGAAAACAGGAGAACAGCATAACTAGAATGTCTTTGCATTGGAACCCATAGAGGCATAGGAATAAGGGAAGGCCAAAAACACATGGAGAAGAGAACTGAAGAATGAAGTTAGAAAGATCGGGAGGACATGGAGAGAGCTCCATGTAATGGCGAAGGATAGAATGACTTAGCGTGAGTCGATTGAGGGTCTATGCTCCATTGGGGGATAGAAAGGCAGAAGAAGAAGATGGACAGAAAACAAACACAAAAGTCCACCCCAAAGACCAGTACATCTCAGGATAGTTCAGTATACCACAGGGCAAACCAGTCCACCCCAGAATAGACCAGTATATGTTAGGATAGCTCAGTACACCACAGGGCAGAATAGTCCACCCAAGAATATACCAGTATATGTTAGGATAGCTCAGTACACCACAGGGCAAAATAGTCCACCCCAGAATATACCAGTATATGTTAGGATAGCTCAGTACACCACAGGGCAAAATAGTCCACCCCAGAATATACCAGTATATGTTAGGATAGCTCAGTACACCACAGGGCAGAATAGTCCACCCCAGAATATACCAGTATATGTTAGGATAGCTCAGTACACCACAGGGCAGAATAGTCCACCCCAGAATTTACCATATATGTTAGGATAGCTCAGTACACCGCCCTGCAGACCAGTCCACCCCAGAATAGGCCAGTATATCTTGAGCTAGTTCAGTACACTTAATGGCAAACCAATCCTCCCCTCAGACCAGTATATCTCAAGATGTTCAGTACACCACAGGGCGGGCCAGTCCATCCCAGGGCAAACAGTCCACCACAGAATAGGCCAGCACATCTCAGTACATGACAGTGAAGACTAGTCCACTCCAGGGTGGACCAATGCTCCCAACAGTAAATCAGTACAGCCCAGGGTAGACCAATACATCTCAGGGTAGTTCAGTACTGCAGGGTAAACCAGGATAGACCAGATCATACCAGTAGACCAGCATACCATGGGATAGACCAGTAGACCACATGACACACCACTACACACAAAGGTAAATTTGTACATTCTAGGCTTCATCAGTACAAACAGTGTTGGAGAGAAGAAACTCAAAAAACAGGCTAAATAATTTTGAAGGTCTATAATTAGTGTAAAAGACTAATCAATATGATGAAAACTGTCAACAGCACTGCTGCAACTTTTCTCACCAATACCTCAAAGCAAACACTCTATACGTCAGGACCATGAATGTATCAGTGAAAGTGTCAACTTGAAACAATACTCCTACAATTGTGGCTCACCTGTTGTCACCAGTACCTCAAAGCAAACTATACGTCAGGACCATGAATGTATCAGTAAAAGTGTCAACTTGAAACAATACTCCTGCAATTGTGGCTCACCTATTGTCACCAGTACCTCAAAGCAACACGGCCTGAATACACTTCAGGCCTATCAATTTATCAGTAAAATGTGTCAACTTGAAACAACATTGTTGCAGTTTTGCTCACCTGTTCCCTGAGAGCACTTATAGCCTTCTGTACTTCAGGATTATCAAAGTTCTTATTCAAGTAGCTCTCAATGTTATTCCTCACATAAGGAAATAGTGTGTCCTGAGGAAGAACCAACAGAAACTTATCATTGTCTCACACACATTATTTCCACTGGAGATAAAATAATCACAGGCAGCTTTTTACTGAGGTGTGAAAGAAAGTTTCTAAGAGCCAGTTGGAGCCAATCCTCTAAGGCAGGTGGGCTTCTACTTCAAAGGATTTACTGATGCTATCTATGCTAGCCAGACTCTCTGTGGGGAAGCTGTTTCTATGACAACAATCAAGAGGTGCAGATTAGCCTTGCCAAGTCTCAGATCTGATTTGGTGCAGCCCCCAAGGTAGAAGAAGTTCACATTTGCATCCCAGACATGTGTTTCATATTTGCTGATTCTTAGTGTAGTTCTCCCATGTTGTATTAAGGGTCCTAAGGTAGCAAAGAGGATTTTTAACACCAGTTCTCTTTTTGCCATATTATGATACCAAGTGATAAGAGTGATTTCAGCACCCTATATCTTCTCCTCAGTAATATATTATACAGAAGAACACAAGATGAAATGATATGACCATCTGATAAGAACACCCTGCTATCAACTGCCACGGAGAACCGTGTTAAAGAAATTAAAGCATGGAGCAATGGGCAAACTTCAAATACTTCTCCTTCTTCACTGGTTGAAAATTTGTTGGTTCATTAATTTCTTGACTTTCACCCTGTTCCAGAACTTGAGTTTTGCGTGCATATCCACTTTACAGATCTGGCTTACATCTAGACTGTTGGTCCTTGACTTCTCAGACACATGGTGGGGACTGGGGAGGGGGGTGTCAAGTGACTCCATACTCTTAACTGTTCGCTAGTCAAGACTATCAGAAGACATTAGTGTTATTCTTTGATTCATTAATATATACCCTTAGCCAACTGGCCTGAAAAGGGAAAACTTAACAACATAAATAACTGACTGTCCTATAATAAAAGATAAGGAAATTAACCATGGGGAGAAAAATCTCTCAATACAACTATAACATTGATGAACTAATCATTAGTGCATGAGATTAGTGGCCACAAAGAATATATATATATCACGAAGTTACCGGTGCACTGCAGACTTTATCTACAACTGATAGATAATAATTATTAATTGTGCAACTAAGTCTGGTACTAATTCTGTTGTGGCTTGGAGGGGTTTCCCCATGTCCCAGTGACTTCACGCTTGCACTAGGACCTAACAACATAACCTTGCACTAGGACCTAACAACATAACCTGACACCCCTATTTTGGGTGCAAGATACATTCTCCCAAACCGGATTGATCCGGTTCTCCGGCCTGTGGGGTCACGTGACCAAAACCAACAAGGCGGCTTCCTTCAAAATGGTGCCAGGCCAATGCAGGCAGATAGATAGCCATCATTCACCCCAGATGGTTTCGTTTATGGTTTCCCTCACATCAATAGACTTGGTCTTTATAATCTTTGTACACATACATTACACAACAGTGCATAATAACATGTTACAAATATGTATCCCATTAAAAAAATGTAACAGATTTAACAAAAAAATATATATTTATATATAGCATTATGTCGGCGGGGAACCAACTGTTCAGTTTACCGGCTGGTAGAAAGGAACGAACTGAAAGTTATGTAACAGTAGTAAAAGGCATTTACATGTAATTCTGAGTGAAGTCAAGATTGCTAAAATCAACGCATACATTCAAAGAGTCAACGTGAGATCCGGTTATTTTGCAGGGGTAAACTAAAAGCACTGCTACAACACAACTGCGATGGTCCATATGTAGACGACTGAGTCCCGACTAAACAACAAAGAACTTGAATCTGACAATACTGTTAATGTTTCAAGGCAACATATAAGTAAAGGGATAATAATACACCTACATTTGACAGAAAGGATTAGCTGAATGAAATATATGTATAACCTTGAAACGACTAACGCAGCGAAACTGGGACAGTGTACTTAACAGAATGGAGACTGCAACTTGCTAGGATACTGACGCAGACGCTTACCTTCACGAACGAAATAGGAGTCGTCGTGCCTTCTATGTCGAACACAATTGATCGTACGCCGATCAGGAGAGATTCTGTTTCTTCGGCAGGTCTCTTATTTGGTGCCATCATGTATATAAGTTACACAATTTACAATAATCTTCGCGATCAAAGAACAAAGACGCCGGCGTTATCCCAAACACAGGCAGGTACGCTCTCCATTGATTGGGCACGAGAGGGCGCTGCCCTGTTACGCTGTTCTGTCAGTGATTGTTCGCCCTCGATTACTTCCAAAATTTTTTAGATATTTTACAAATTTTGTTGACAGTATCATTATTTTAATATGTTTTCGTTTATCTTATTATATGTTTATTTCATTGTCAGGTATGTAATGTCAAACCACACTTTTCTAAATCGCAAAATTACAATTACCAAGGTTGTAACGTTATTTGATTCATGATTTCTGCTGTATTACTACTAGTAGTAATTTCTGAAAAAAAATCATGTTTAATTGAACGACATACAGGTTATTTCGTAACCGCCAATGTGACAGTTTAAACGGTCGAATGGGGCTTCTGGAATTTGCACAAGCGGGGTTTTTTCATCCGAATTGATGCTGTTTTAGTCATCATGTATTAATCGCGCAGAGTGCAGTCCCAGAGGGGTTCAACTTCACTAACTATACTTCTTTTGAGTAACTTATATGCAGTATGTGTTTTATCAAATGGTGTTCCTATCTCGCGGTTCATGGTGTTCCAAGTCAGTCCTATTGATGATATGGTATAGACCATTTAGTATTAATTAATCTCAGTCTGTCCAAGACCGTATTGGTCTACGCTTTTTTTTTTTTTTTAAATCAATGTTGTCACAAAGCTATGCTATCACAATCAACGTCACTGCACAATTTAGGCATTCTCGAGCGTGCTGTCTTTTTTTTTTTTTTTAGTATATAGAAACCATGAGTTGTTAACCCTTAGGCTCGCTGTTATGGGTATCGCAACCTTTCGGCCTTGATTCCATTGTAAATACCGTAAATCTGGGAGAAAATGTGGCTTTCCTGCCTACCCCCGGGATTGAACCCGGACCACAAGGAGTTCGTCCCCCGGTCTCCGCGCAATCCGGTTTAGCCAACTACGCTAGAGAGCCGGGCTGCTGTCTTCTGGTGCATCTGCCATTACATGGTACTTCTACTATTTTTTTCCCCAAACAGTTGCTTGTACTGTATCCTATCCTGGCCTCGAAGAAGGCATAAACGTGCTTCGCCTGGCTTTATTCCCAAGTCACGCATTCGTATTTGTGTGAGAGATTCCTCATTTTTATGAAGCCTAGTTCGTACATCATCATCAATCAGCAGATTCTTTTCAGAACGTCGCTCTCGTCACGATACGCCTTAAAGTCTTTTTCTCTAGCGTGTACTCCAGCCCTATGTGCTTTCTTAGCCAGTGCACCTTCGCTGTCTTGTATCCACCTTAGCAAAGTCGGTCTCTACAAGGCCGTCTCCAATCCTATAGAGCAGCGGTTCTTAAACTTTTTTCGCCGCGCCATGCTTGGGAAAATTATGTTCCCGGCACACCTACCCAAAAAGCAGTTTAAATGCTTAGGGGGGAAAAGGCAGATTAAAAAATTTATAATGTTTAATTGTCTTTGATGCGATGAATAAAACTCCGTAGCTCTAGTGACGATCCCCAGTTAGCTGCGTTAACATTGCACTAACTGAACGACGCGTCCATAAACGTTGAATTAAGAATCGACATCACAGCAGTCGAGACACGATGAGTTCCAATTCCCATGGCCCCAGTAACTGTCTGATTGTTCGTCCGTCTCGCCTTTCCCTTGAGTGTTGAGCGTCGGCCAAATCCCCTGGTAACTCACCGGAGCGCCAACTCCGCAGCACGTTATGATCTATTTGTCCCTCCGCACTGTCCGCGCGCTCCGAAAGAAACATTGTCATACAACAGTTCACCACTAAGTGATGCAGAACCAGTCAGTGTCTGCCTGTTCTGTTCTAATCACAGCGTTGTCACTGTAGCTTACAATTATAACCCTGTATTGTCCGTATGCATTTGAATATAAATGTTACAGACAAGTTCTAAGAATATCTTGGGTAAAGAAAAGAACAAATGCATCCATACTTCAAGAGCTGAATATTGAAGAGGGTTGGCTAGTAAAGACAATAAAACAAAGAAAAATTGAAATATTTTGGTCACTTGAAACGTCATGGAAGTCTCACAATAATGGAGGGGCTGGGAAGAGTTTTCAGGAGAACAGGGTGTGGCTTGATCTCTTTCCAGATGGATGTAGCAGACGCAGGACATCTTGCTCATGATAGGAAGGTTTTCCGGAGGGTTGTTATGGCAGCGAGGTTCCGCGAGGGACATGCTACTGAATGAATGAATGAATTGTCCGTTCCGGGGGTCGCCGTAGCCGAGCGGCTAGACGCTCGCCGCGGATCGGAAGGTCCTGGGTTCGCTCCCTGGCGGAGCCGGACTATTTTCAAAAAATGACCTTGGCTCCCAGGTCGACCCAGCCTTGAATGGGTACCGGGTGCAGTCCCGGGAAATATAGGTGGCCGGCGTGATGCTGACCATATCACCCATCTTGTGCCGATTGGTCTATAAAAATATAGGTCTAGCCCTATATGCCCTATACGCCTAAAGGCGTGATAAGGGTCCTTTACTACTTTTTTTTATTGTCCGTTCCGTTGTTTTACTTAACAACAACAAATCGTCACGTTCAAACAGCATCACCGAAGGGGAAGCTTTAGGTTCTAACTAAACTAGGTTAAGTGCGCCATATAAAATGGCTTAGAATTGCACACCATTAAGAGCCATGAAAAGGACTTGCAGACAAATAATGTCACAACCGTCAACGAAGTCTTTAACCGGCGAGCCAATGGGCGACCCGCTGATTAAAAAAAAAATCGCCCAACGTGGGGCTCGAACCCACGACCCTGAGATTAAGAGTCTCATGCTCTACCGACTGAGCTAGCCGGGCTTGATATAAATCTTATCTCAATTTGCAAATTTTTACTTTTACGTAACCAACAGAATCACATGGTCACTCTACTTCCGTTGTGTGGTACACGCGACGTGCAAATCGCGCGCATGTGGCATATACTGAACTTACACTGCTGTCCGTAAATGACAAATAAAAGATTGTTACAGGCAATAGACACTGCCTTCTCTAATAAATAGAGAAGGCCGTGGCAATAGAGTACCGGTCCAAACCAGTCGTTTTGGTGCAGTAAAATTTCTTAGCCAAATTATCTGGAACAAAGAAACCAGACCACAATTATAACCCATACTACTCGCAGTAGGTTGAACGTTGTCGATTTTTTATTTTGTTTTTCAAAAGTGAATGGATGGAAGATGTATCTTGTGGTCGCAGTGGACAGAGGACACCAGTGGTTCTCAACTTTCCTAATACCGCGACCCTTTAGTACAGTTCATCATCTTGTGGTGCCCCCGACCCCCCTACCCCCAACCATATAATTATTTTCGTTGCTACTTCGTAACAATGGCAAACTACTGGATGTAACTTGCCTAGAGAAACCACACAACAGCCAGGGGCTGTTAGGGTTGGTTCTGCAACGTCCTGTAAAGGATACGCAACTAACTTTAACTTCGTAACATCGGTGAATATGTGGTTTTCGTTGGTCTTAGGTGAACCTTGTGAAAGAGTCGTTCGACTCCCAAAGGGGTCGCGACACACAGGTTGAGAACCTCTGCTCTACACGAAAAGTTTTAGCTCTTGGACATAAATAAACAGAAGGGGGAACCTTTGAGGCCGCTAAATATTATGAATTAATCAAGTAACGGAAAGTGTATTGATCGGCACTCATAGAAAGAAGTAGAAAGAACACACTAGACAACATAAAAATCGAAAGCTATAGTTACCGTGCCGGGAATTGAACCTGTCACCTCCAGACGGCGTGTGCGCCTCGCCATGAATACAAGTGCACTAAGAACATGGTCAACTAGGCACCCATACTTTCTGTTACTTGATTAATCAATAGCTCTTGGATAGCACAGTGGAGGTCACTATGAGAATTGTTTGGGAAATTGACAAGATAGTACATTATCAGATATTGGTCACAATGCCACCCGGCATGTAGCACTGCACTTAAAAGTGATAGTTCTCTTGGAGTATCTATCGTGAATAGATGGCTGGTAAAACATAGGCAACAATGATCATTGAAAATTCGCGCCCTAGTGACATTATTATTTATATACACAGACGAATCTGTTGTGACCAGTAAAAAGAGTGGATGTTTGTGTGTGTGTGTGCGTGCGTGCGTGTGCGCGCGCAAAAGTGGATAGGCATTGCTCAAAAATTAGCTTCACGCACAATGTCACAGGATCCAGTACGAGAGTGCGGTGGGGGCAGTAACGGCTGCTTTTTGGTGGCTTGAGAATAGTAGTCTGACATGATGCGATTGTCACGGGCTCACAGAGCATGCTTCAGAAAACTGAAGCTGGCGTACTACAATACAAGCAGATAAGGTTATATCCCTTGATTAGTCTCTTCGAAGGAGACCCCCAGTTAGTCGACTCTTACGACATGCTTGTTAGGGAGTCAGTGGGTCAATTCCTGTTTTTCTCACAATGAGGCCCAGAACCCACAATGGGAAAATACTCTAGTGATGTTTACACACCGTCTGCAAAGACAACTCAAAAGACCTGAGTTAGAAACAGTAGCTAGGAAGCATAACCTTAGGTGTCGACCCAGCCTCAAATAGGTACCAGGTAAAGTCCTAAGAAGTCAAGGCAGCCGGCGTCATGTTGACCACATCACCCATCAAGGGACCGATTGATCTATAAAAAATATGAGTCTGTCCTCATATGCCCGATGCACCTCTGGCGAGTAAAAAGACCTCTAATTTTGCTTATAACCTCTGAATACAGTCAATGAATGACAATATGGCCGATCTTTACTTGGAAACACATTGAGTTGAACTGAGCTGAGAACCAGACAGATCCCCATGAGGTCACTCTTCATTGCACTGTTTTCTCCAAACCGCTATGATCTATTCAAGCTTACGCATTGTTTGTCTGGCCCCAAAGGGCATTGGACACATCCAGCTGGTCATGCATTGACTCACCCCTAATGATGCGGAACCACCAGTCTATGTGACCCTGTTTGTTCGTTTCCCAAAACATTAGATGATTCATATGAGATTGTCTTAATGCGCTCATTGAATATTAGATTGTGATGAATATTGTCTTGCCATATGGTATCATGTGAATATTGCTGCTGGCGAATATCTTCATGTTTGTAGTTTGTGGCTATCTACTATAGTCTTGTCTTCTTTTTCTGGATAAAATGCTATACACACATATATTTATCTCTCTCTCTCTCTCTCTCTCTCTCTCTCTCTCTCTCTCTCTCTCTCTCTCTCTCTCTCTCTCTCTCTCTCTATTCTTCTTCTTCTTCTTCTGCGTTCTATTCTGCTAAACATTGAGTCCCGTCTGGATCACAAATCAGGATTGTGCGTTTAAGGTCGCCACCGGTCCCCCATAGCCTCTCTTGCAATGTGGCTCCCTTGGGCCAGATCCAGAGTCTTTGCTGGGAGAGGTTAGGGCAGTAGTTCTGTAGTGTGTGTTCATCACGGCTGTTTGTCTTTTATGCTCCACAATCACAGGCAGCAGATTCTTGTATGCCTATCCTGTACAAGTGCTTTCACTGCTCGAACGCGGCTGTTTTTGGACCACAGTGCCACCCAGTTCGATAGTGGGGTTCCTCTCTCTCGTCTCTCTCTCGTCTAAAAATTATTATGTTTGTTCGTTACTGTTGAGTTTGTTTATGCTGTCACTCTCTGGTCTGTAATCTCCATTTTGCTACGTTCTCCACTCCCGCTTGAAAGACTGCTTTAGCCGCTGTTTTGGTTCCTTGTAGCTGTTGTGGTGGATGAGGTTGTTGGAAGATTACTCCAGCTTTTGGCCAACTCATCTGCTCTTCATTTCCTTGAATACCACAGTGGACGGGTCTCTCTTTCTCTTCTTCTCTCCCTCTGACTCTCTCTCTCATCTCTCGTAATGTAGGAGGAGCTATAATATATATATATAATATATATATATATATGTGGTGTCGGTGTGTGTGTGTGTGTGTGTGTGTGTGCGTGTTATATATACACACACACACACATACATACATACACATATACTATTTTGAGCGGTCTTCCTCTTTCTTCTGTTTGAATTCAGTTCTTGTTAATGATTCATATATCTCTTCCATCAGTTATTTCTACTATTAATTCTTCAGACTGATAGCATTGGGGAGGAAAAGGGCGGGGTCAAGGTGGGGGGGGGGGGGGTTAGCTATACAGTGTTGAGGGTGGGGTGGGGGCAGAACAGGGCAAGAGAAGAGTTATCAGGACGTAGCTAGTTCACATTGCTCCTCAAACCCAGGGACAATAAAGAGGAGCGGCTGGTCGAACGGTTTGTGCGATGGGTTCTCAAGCTGGAAACTCGCGTTCGAACCCTCGGTAAGATTATATTTTTTTTGTGTTGGGGGAAAGGGGAAAAAAATTATAACTGTTACGACAGTACTAGCCATGCAACCCTAAATCCTTAAGCTTAAATCCTTCCCCCACCACAAACAGTAAGAAATACATGCGGCAAAGGCAGCTTTTGTTTATTACTCACGACAAAGTGTCTAAAAATAAAAAACGTGCGTGTACTCACCACAAAGTTCTATTGCGAAAGCGCTGAACAATAAAAAATGATACTTAAAAAGTTGCCGGTACTGCGTATTTTTTGTGTACCGTCATAGGAAAAAAAATTGTTTTAATACCTATATCTTCTTCAGGACGCCGCTGACACATAAGGCATTTATAAGCGTCTCTAAAATATACAAATTGGTTCGTTGTTCAGAATTTTTCAACGCCCAGGATGCACATTTTTTTTTTTTTTAGCCTGGACGGAGTTTCTGGGCTAAACCAGTCAAGTAGCAGGGCTGTCGAAATTTAATTTTTTAATTGCAGGCAATGGTGTTGGTTTCCTACACGTCTTTATTGATCTAATGTTGCCTATCTAATATTTTCGAATTATTTCTGTCTCATGCTTGCTGTACCATTTTTATAACTCTAGAGCACTGACATGGGTAGCAGAACAAGCAGTAATCATTTCAGACTCTGAACGTTTCCGAAAATCGCTACACGTAGACCACGCTCAGAATGGTTAGAAAGCACTCGGAAGTCGCAGTTAACCCGCATCATCTGTTAGGCGACAGTAAATGGTAATGAAAAAGAGCAGCTTGGTAAGCACCAAGGCAAATGGTACTGAGAAACATGACAGTTTATCAGTTGTCGTCTTGTAGTGCCACTAGTGATGAGGTATCCCTTGAGTTGTGTGGCATTTTAGCAGAGTGGGGAGAGTCGATTGTATCCATTTTTACTGCGTTCGCTTTTGACATCTTGCGGAGCATTCAAGTTGCATTCATTGTTATCGAATTCGTCACTCACAATCACTTTAAAAAAAAAAAAAGTTAAAAAAAAACACATCAAAATTAAAAATATTTATGCACAATTTCTAAAACGTACCAAAACATCGGGCGTGATACCAACAGTTGTGACCTCTGGCAGAGCGGGCATGCCAACATTATTAGGCAGTACAATTTTCCGGGAGTCAAATGATACCGAATGTGTACGAAAGCACCAAATTCGGCAGCACTGTAAAGCAAAAGCCGACAGGGAGAAGGAGACGAACAACTTGTCTCTTGTCGTGTTTGTTGTCGTGTGGTTGTAGAGTTTGTAGTCAGCGGGGACTCTATTACGGCGTTTCTTGTATGGATACCTTCTAAATCAAACCTAAAATCATGCGACGTGTAGGTTATTGGATTAGCGAAAAGAAGAGAAAGAAGCTTGATTTCGATGAGCATCGAGAGCTGTTCAGGTGAGTAGACTAAGTTTACTGTAGTAAGTACAGTACTGTAGTCAGTACTGTACTGACTGTCTGTACATTTTGTAAACAAATTTTATTTTGCAGTGATTGGATTTGATTACTCATTAAATAATAATATAAATAATTATCATTAGTACATATTCATTATGACCAAGAGATAGCGTTTTTTAGAGTCGACTGCTCATTTTCTTTTAATAATAATAATTTTATAGTAATTAAATCGCTGCAAATGTTTGAAATGTTTTACTGTCATAAGTAGGAGAAGCAAAGAAAATGACTGAGCTAAGTCGTGCATGGACCAAAGAGGGTTAGTGTGAGGTCGGCCATCATATCAAAGAACTATCTGTAAAATGCAACCAGTCATGAAAAGGTCAATAAGAAAAGAGAAAAAAAAAACGCTGAAAATGAAAATACAGTTGTACCTAAGCGATACGTCCCTGATTGATTCCAGATCCCTGGACGTATACAAGACACGACACATACCAAACGAATTTCCCCATAACAAATAGAGGGACAATGATTAATCCTTTCCTATGAAACAAAAATCCTGTTGTTATTGGCATTTTTTACATTGATAGGGATTGTATCAAATAATTTAAACACTGCTTTTTACTATAATATATAAATACAAAAGCAGTTAAATAAAATAAATGAAAATTCCACCTCACTTTACCTTGCTGAGAAGAACTGAGAGCTTACTAGGTAAGATGGTGCCGAGAATGGAGGTGGAGATGTTATTGTTTGGAAGGTAAGTCCCCTTCCAATAAAACTTCAGAAATCTATTTCTTTTTATTTTATGTCACTTTTGTCTACTTGTTCCTGGTTGAGGCTCACCATGTTAAACTTTTCGGCTATCCTCCGATTAACGGGCGGTAAAGATGGCGGCCGCAGAATATCCTTTCGAGCCACAGTCACGTGTCAATTGCGCACTTCCGGTGACTTAATTTGCGGTTTTCCGGCGACTACCGGCACCGCCACGAGTTCCCCCACGCTGCTAACGCGGAGTGGATTGGGGCTAGGACCCATGAGCAACAGCTTCCGCATCTCCTGAAGCTTTGCTCGTGGGTCCTAGCCATCTAGTTTAGCCCCAATCCACGCCGCATGAGACTCGTGGCGGTAGTCGGCGGAAAACCGCTGGAGAACTGCAAATTAAGTCACGTGACTGAGGCTCGAAAGGATATTTTGCAGTTGCCATCTTTACCGCCCGTTATTCGGAGGATAGCTGACTTTTAAAAAAAATCTGTTCAAAGAACTTTGTTTCTACCCTCTCCTCAGGATGTTTGAGAAATGTGACATTGTCTGGTTATTTGAGACACTGCTGTTACAGCTTGTTGGGGTGGTACTTCTCTGCAAAGTTTGTGACATCCATTCATTTAGCCAGCTTTTCTTTGATTGAGAAAGCTAACTAAGGGTAGTGTGCAGTGACATGACTCATTTTGACTCATACAAGTTCTGGCATGCCAATCGTATTCAAAACGAAGGTTGTATACCAAGCAAAATTGTTCGCGTTCAACCAGGATGTGTACCAAAGTGGATGCATATCGAGGTACCCCTGTTAATGGAGACCTGTTTTAAAAAAAAATCTGAGATGTGGTAATGAGAGTCAGAAGCTAGGATTGTAAACTGGTTCGTAAACTGTCAGGAGTAGGGATTGCCAACTTACTTCTTATATATATAATTTTGTTTCAAATATAAAACACAATGGAAGGAGAATTTCAAAATTTAGAAGAATGGTTTTAATTCAGAAATAACATAGTAATTGAAATGATCTGTGAAAATATTACAAAACTGCAGAGTTCAAAATTCAGTGTGGTGGGCCTGGGATGGGGGTGGGGGGGGGGGGGGGGGGGGGGGGGGGGGCAGGAGAAGGAGACAGAACTTGACAGTCCGGCATAGAATATACCATAGTATTTTCGACCATATGCCATTATGTTTTTTACTAAATATACACCGTCTCCTAGACCTAGATCTTCTGCACTAACGACAACATAAACAAATTAACAAACATTAGAAAAAAAAAAGAGAGATGACTGAGATGATTTGGCAGGGTCAAAAAGTTCTCGAGACTGATTTAATAGAGTGCATAGAATGCATTTTTCACATTATGTGCAATAATTATACGTACATAGATTAAATTTGTGTGTGTTATGTTTTATAACCTATTTGAACGAAAATAGTGTTGAAAAATAGAAATTCTGCTTACAATCACTTTGACGTCTTACCAGACTGTCAGAACAGAACTTGGTTGTAAGTTGAGGAGACCTTGTATTTTGAAAATAAGATAGAAAATGGAGAAAGTGTGTTTTTATGAGAACCTTGTTTTCTTTTACTTTTCAGAAATGCTGGCATTGAGCTTATTCAGGTAAGCTGATCTGATTTTTTTTTTTAAATGTAATTAAAATAATATTGTTTCATGTGCACTTTTGCTGGAACGGTTTTAGGGGCTGAGGATTTAGGGCTGATTGTTTATGCTGTTGCCATGCAGGGTGCAGTTTTGGATTATTTCATTTACCATTGAGGAGTGGCTGGCCGACTGGTTAAGAATACAGGGCCCTCATGCAAAAGACCCAAATTCAAATCCTCGATGAGGTTGGGGATTTTTTCTGTTGGGGGAAAAACTAAAATCCTAACTGGCACAGATTGTGGCGACAACACTAGCCCTTGCAACCCTAGATATCCTTAGGCTCAAAGTCCTCATTGCCTATACCACAGAAGTGATAAATACAGGCAGTAATGGCAGTTGAAAGTTTCATTCACCATTACTAGGGCAAAAACTTCTTGCCGTGTGCCTTCAGAACTATTTACAACATATTGAGTAGTATTTTCTAAAACTGGCCAAGGCTGTATCAATAAAACTTAACTCTCCTGTTTTATGTTAGAAAAAAAAAAGCACATGAAAAAGGTTGAAGTTACCATGTAATCACATGGCTGAGTTGAATTTCTCTTGGAGAGATGTACAGCCTAACTAGATAATGCAATTTTTTTTTTTTTCAGAGACAGGATTTCATTTTCCCCCTGCTATATTGTATGTTGATTTAACTGTAGTAATGCACCTGACGAGATACCACAAAAGATACCAGGCAATAAATTATACAATGTGTAGTTTGCATCAACATTATTTAAATTGAAATTTTGTTTATTAAAATTAATTTGTATTGCTTGTTAAGTAAAAAAAAAAAAAACTTAAAAAATTCATGTGTTTACTATCGATGGTTGACTTTTGGGTTACATCATGTCTGTTTTATTTCACAGAGATGGTCTGTTAGGGGTTAGAGTTAGGAAGGAGAACAATATACATCTAGAAAATGTGCTCAGTAAGGTAATATATTTCAAATAATTTGTAAAAACAAATAATCTACATTCTTTGATCATGTCATGAGAAGGAGAAAATGAGTACATCGTGATGATGACAAAGCTTTAGGGAGAAAAGAGGTAGAGCGAGACAGAGAGAATATTAGGACAGTTTGACATCATGGCATGGAAGATCGTCTGTGTCACACTTGATTGAAAGTACATGAGACAGAGGTTGTGTAGATAGAAGAGATGATTACCAACACCACATGGCAAATTTATTTTATGTGCCCTGTTTCATTTTCGGCGATTGCTTGATGGGTGCGGAAAGGTTCTTTTGTTTTTATTTCATCATATCTCGTGGCCTCCGAGATTTCGTGAGGAAACTCCCAGGAAAGTCCATTATAGGTGTGTTAGCATGTGAAATGAGATGGAGTGAAATTTTTTAAAACAAAATGCGGAAATAACGGTTATATTGCCAAAACCAGTTAATGTTTGTGCACTACGTTTAAACACATTTATCTCATGCTGAAATAATATCCCTCAGTCAGACACAAATTGTATCTGTATCATTTACTCACACATCTTTCTTGGTAATATCCTATTAATTTCCTGAGGTGTCGGGACTCTTCGAATTCATGCTCTAACATGGTCCAAATGTCTGGCAGTGGCGTTGACACAAACATATTATGGGCACAGTAACTAAATTTAAAATTAAACATTAAGTGATGTTATCTATCAAAACATGTGGCGTCAGCGGCTTAGGCGTTGCCAGTCCGACTTCTAATTCCAACCTACCGTGATCGAAACCCACTGCTGGCTGCGTGGATCTGTATTGTGGTGTGGGGCGTTGCAGGTCGACCTGCCTCAAATGAGTACCAGGATAAATTGTCCTGGGAAAGTAAAGATGGCCAGTGTAATGCTGACCACATTACCCACCTAGTGCTGATTGGTCTGTAAAATATGGGTGTTCTTCCGATATGCACGATTTCCTAAGGCGTTAAAAGGGATCTTTACTTTATTTTACTTCTTATCTGTCAAAACATATTACAATATTTAACATATGGGACTTATTCAAGTAAGAGAAACAGTAAGCTGTTTCAAAATATGTTAACAGTAACAAAATAGTAAAATGCTAAATGGCAAATACATATATTTGAAATGATATCAAATGTAGAAATAAATACTTTAAAAGAGAAAATTGGAGAAGGCTTTTTCTTCTTCTTCGCGTTAGCCAACTGTAAACACCAGTGGGAAGTTCTGGTTGTTTGTCCACATCTGGACGTTAGTCTTGTTCTAGAACCTGAGTGTTGTGTGCCTATCCGTTTTACAGATCTCACTTACTTGTATGCTGATTGTTGGTTCCTTATCTCTTAGATGCACTCCAATTTAGAAGGAAGCACCTAATTAGTCGACTCTAAGGACATGCTTGTTGGGGAGGCAGTGTGTCTGTTCTTGTTTTCCCACAATGGGATCTCTGAACTCACATGGGAATAATCAAAGTAATGGTAATAATAATATGTTGACTAGCAAATCAATGTAAAGTTTGAACTAATATGAAATGTATAAACAGAGAAACCACTGCACTGGGGTGTAAGGGGGGTGGGGGGTTCAGGGGCTGAACTCCCCCTAGGTTCTTGCACCTCTGATGTCTAACAACAGGCGTTCTCGTGTGGTCTCTAAATATGAGCACGCTTCAGTTAAGCTTATTGACATTAATTTCGCCTTAGCCGTTTGTGTTTACATTTGGAACATAACTCTTACCTTGGCCTACATATGTTTTTGTCACCATGACTCTAGTGCACGCAGGTCACATCTGCTGGTTAACACTGGTCTCGTACAAAAGGGTTACAGTTTTCTCCAGCCAATGCCAGAGTGATGTGGAATGAACAGACAGACAGATGGGCTGGATCTGCACTACTGGTTGGTGAAGTGATGCATGACAGATGTGATCAGTACCCTTTGGGAAAAAGCAACAAAGTCAGAAGCGAAACAAGATTAGTGTGGCCTGGAGAGAATGAGGCACCTGGATGTAACCAGAGGGTCTGGCCAACTCACTGCACTCAGAGGAAAGTCAAACCGACATATAACGACTGGTACCAATAGTATTAGAACTCTGGACTGGCTACGCTGACGGCAATGACGGAGCACGCATGGGAATGCCCCGAGTGTTGTGATGTCAGTTCTTGACTCAACTCAACTTGTAAAGGGGACATAACATGTGAAAGACCCATTTTCACGCCTTTAGGCATTTTGGGCCAGACTGACGTTTTATAAACAAATCGCCACTCCGTGGGTGTTGCGGTCAGCATCATGACGACTGCCTTTATTTCCTATGACTGTTCCTGTTACCCATTTAAGGCTGGGTCGACCTGGGAGCCAAGGACATTTTTGAAAAACAGTCCAGCTCTGACAGGGCCTTAACCCTAATGTTTCGGATCCGCATGCTATCGACTAGGCTACACCACTGCGGCTGCTATAATTGGACATGGTGACTTAATATTACAACCGAATATGGGGGGGGGGGGGGGGGGGGGGGAGAGAAAACATTGCTTGAGATGGATTTATGGCTGGTTCCAGCAAAGAAGGAGCGGAGAGGGGGGTGGGGGTGGGGGAGGAGGTGTGAGTCCAACAACCTGTTTACAACCAGCTTGTTCTTAGAACCACCTGCATCTAACGTCATTTGCCGCAGAACATTCCTTTGTACTCATTTTATGCTGGATCGAGAGCTGAGGTCAGTTTTTCAATTATGCACCGATACGCATTTGAGCTCATGGTTACCCGCCTGCCAGTTGGCCTCATTGCACGGGGATATCGGAACTGTTACTTCAGTGGCTTTCCATGCCATACACCACATTAACCTCAGTCCAAAATACGAACTCCTTGCCTCCTTCTTCTGATGAGCTGGTTTATCTTCACAGCATGCTTTACACGTCAATATAAGCTCATATTCCCTCTTCAGCATATTCATAAGTGTCCTGCGGTAAACAGTGCCAGTCCTATGATGGTTAACAAGACTTCTTTATACGTCCGGTGTACCTCTCATGCTTGGCCTTGTCGAAGGCCCCACCCCTGCTGTAGTCGAAGACCCTAATAAAACCTAACGGTTGAACGGGGATTTTGGGACTGTGCCCAGGTTATTCTCATCCGAATAGTGGCACTTTGTGTCAACCGATGTTTGTCGTTTGTTTTGTGGTCTTAGTGGGTAGAGCTTGACTCCAAATTCCCATATTTTTTAGCTGCTTGATTTAGCTGTTCCCAGATTCTTTGGATCGTCCTATCTCTCTAAGGACATTAACGATGTCAGCACGACCTTTAGACTGGTCATCTAGAACTAATGCAAAACCGGCCAGTCTGTCAGATCTTTCATTACCAACACCTGCATACCTAGGAAAAAATTAAAGGTAACTGCACGCACGGGGAGTTTCGCAATGACTCACTCCACTGTCTGCGTACGGAACCTTCCTCGACTCGCCGGATCATGCTCATAGAATCACACTATTGAGAATAGTCCTCTGTGTGAGAGAGAGGAGAGGGGGGGGGTGTTGGTGAAAATCTCACATCCTTAATTTTGTGTGGGTATGTTATTTTATAACACTTATAACTGCCGAGTTCTTTTTCGCCGTACCCGTGAGGCTGAACTCTGGATCGACTATCCAGTCTCAGACGAATGTCTACTTTTGTCTGGAGCTCTTTATGACGATTCATCGAATAGACTATACACTTTTTAAGTAACCAGTGACGGATAGCCCAAAAGCTACAGGCAACTGTAGACAAATTGACCGCTGACGTGGGTGCTATCATCAACTCAGAAAAGGCGACTGTTTTGTGGTGCTCTCTGGACAATAGAATTGTAAGAGCTAATGTTCCGAGCCTCACAGTTAATAACATTAACATAAAAAAAGAAAGCAAACTGAGGTACCTGGGTATAATTTTCAACATTCAAGTAACCAGTATGGGAATGGTGTATTGACTGGGGCGTGTTACAAGTGCGTGTATTTCTGCGCTGCGCGTCTACGCGTTCATTACCAACTTCATAACTGGAGTTTTAAACGTGACGACCGCAGCTAATTACGCAACCCCTTTTCAGAAGCGCATTAAGTAATTATCTTTAGTTGAAATCGCTTGTACATCAAGGGGAGATATAACCGTAATTAATTAATTTAAAACGGCAAAGCAACAAATTTATTATCGATTCAGCACAACTTTTAAAATGTAAGAAATGAAGATTAAATATTCATAAGAAGAAGAGCAGCATAAATGATGGAGTACAATTATTGAACAGATAGAAATCCTGCTTCTTCTTATTCTTTTTTTTTTTTTTTAAATTCCCTTCTTCCTTTGTAAGACTCCTTTCATTGTCTATGTAAGGATGCATTACAGGTCACAGTTAATGCGTGATGATTTTAATATATTAAATGGATGATTGTGTAGTCTGACTATTTGCATTTCTGTCGACTTTAGCTTGCGTTTTTGTGAATGGGTGTTCACCATTCCTAAAGTTTACAGACAGAACCACACGTACACAGGCCTACTGTAAAACCAGACATGACCAAAGATTGAATTGAAGCACGTATTATGAGTTTCCCGCGCTGACCTGGAGACAACGTTGTACGTCAACCTACGCCAAGCAAAATAAGAAGGCATTTTGGTCAGATTCTACACAAGGTGCATGACTGATCCGTTATATTTTCACAAAGAGGATAACTGTTTCAACTTAGTGTCAACAAATTTTAATTTGCTGGAAGGATTTTGGCTCTTTTCTTCAGGGTCCGAGATTTCGTAGGGAATTCCCAAGAAAGTCCTATATTATGGGGGGGGGGGGGGGGGGGGTTAGGACAAGGCCTTCTGTGGGATACAGAAGGCCTTGGTTATGGTTAGTGTTGGTGGATGTTTATTTCCCACCCCAATACCCGTAAACTATTGGACTTTCCCCGGAAATTCTCTACGAAATCTTGGAGTTCCCAGTGATAAGGTGAATAACAAAGAAAAGGACAAGATCTTCCATCTGATGCTATCATGGTACACACGTACTTAAACATGTAGTAGTGGTGGTAGCAGTAGTGGCGGTGGTAGTAGCAGCAGCAGAAGAAGAATACTTGAAAAGATAATTTCTGTACATTTTCAGGGGACTTTTAGCTTCTTGGGAGCCGCAGTGCTGTCGCGGCGAGACGCTCGCCTGTGGATCAGTGGTCGTAGATTCAGATCCTAACTGAGCTGGACTTTGAAACAAAACAAAATTGCCCCTGTCTCCCAGGTCCACCCAACCTTACATGGGTAGCAGGTAAAGTCCTGGGAAGTAAAGGCGGCCGGCATGATGTTTACAAGTCTTGACCAGTATGCCTCAAGGCGTTGAAAGGTCCTTTACTTTTAGGCTTTTGCCAAATGTGCACTTGACGAGGGCGCACGGAACTTGAGCCCAGGCACTCCTGTATAACGTACACAGCTATGTTCGACTGTGACCAACTGTGGGCCGATCCACTTATCCATGCTGTCTTGTTCTGTGACAGATTGATCTCAAGAAATCCTTGGAAAACCAGGGTCCTTTTGATTTGCTAGTACATAAAGTCACGGATATCCTGGCCAGGGCGGTCAGTGGCCACAAGTCTTCCCAAAATGCGATCCAAAACTTAGAGGTGAGTTGCAGTCGTAATTAATATTGCTCGGCAAATAATGAACCTAGTTATGTAAGTGCATGCGCAGTGAGCTATACCGACCTTACAGTATTGAGTGAATAAATAAAATATTTTTAGCTATTAAGCTTGATTGATAAATTACCATGTTTTATCTACAAATTACCTTAATTGAACTAGAAATTACCATAGTGGATCTACAAATTACCATATTTGATCTACAAATTACCATATTTGATCTACAAATTACTATATTTGATCTACAAATTACTATATTTAGGTAAATAAAAAGAAGTTAAGTAGGGAATCCTTTTTTACGAAAGCGCTAGACTCACAGTTTATAGACCAGTCGTCGTTTGGTCTGCCTCTCTTCCCCTCTAGCTTTCCCACCGCCACGATGTACTCCAATTTTCTCCTGACCAACGAGGTTTGAGGTTTTAACAATGGACCAACATCAAGGCACACGGGTAGTAACCCATAAGTGCTCCGTTCTTCTTCTAACTCAAGTCTGAGTCCGAAGAAGCTCAGCACAGTGCACACATGGCACCGGCGAGGATCCTGAAATACTTTGGGTATAATTTTAACTCTTTTTAACAAGCCCGGGCAGCGCCGTTAGGCTACTCTTTTTGATTTCCAACTGCCAGGGGATTTTGTACTTGCGCAACTACCCAGAGATCCGGAGGAATTACAAGAAGTCCCAAGTCCACGTGAAAATATTTCAGCCCTTGCCGGGGATTAAACCCGGAACCTCCAGCCCTCGAGGTGGACATCATGCCTCGAGACCACGCAGCCCACTCCTGACCAACGAATGCAGGTCATCTCTTTCTGATTTGGGCAGTCAGTTGTCTTCGCGAGTCGGTTGCTTTCAAGACATCTTCATTTGTACTTTTATCTGTTCAGGGTGTTCTCATTATTCGTCTATAAAACCACATCTCCTCCGTTTCCACATAATTTTCAACTAGTCATTTAACTGCCCATTGCAAACTCACTATATTTAGTGTACAAGTTAACGAACTAATGAACTTTAAAATATGTACGCATACAGTAAAACTCACTATATTTAGTGTACAAGTAACGAACTAATGTACTTTAAAATATGTACGCATACAGTAAAACTCACTATATTTAGTGTACAAGTAACGAACTAATGTACTTTAAAATATGTGCGCATACAGTAAAACTCACCATATTTAGTGTACAAGTAACGAACTAATGTACTTTAAAATATGTACGCATACAGTAAAACTTTGATTAACTGCCACCGTTAGGACCAGGGCTGTAACGGATATCAGAAATCTCCTAATACATTTGTACAGTAACGTGATTTCACTGCACGCTTGGAGCCAAATTTAAAATAAGATCCTTTAAAAGTGAATATTACATACATATTGTATATAGTTTTTACTAAAACGGTGCGTGTAAACTTCAGTATACAGTGAAGTCACTTCCAGCTTTATAAAGTAGGATGTAAAAGTAACCCAAAGACATTTTAAAAACTGTTTGTCTGTTGAATTTTTAAAGACCTTTTTCCACACCGTTAGGTGTGTGTATTCGGCATATAGACATATATTTTATAGACCAATCGGCACTTGGTGGATGATATGGTCGGCATACTTTCCAGAACTGCTCCTGGTACCTACTCAAGGCTGGGTCCACCTGGGGGCCAAGGTTATTTTTGAAGAAGAAAAAAAAGTCCGGCTCTGTCAGCACCCGAACCCACCACCTTCCGATCTGCAGGCGAGCGTCTAACCGCTATACCACAGCGACTCCCCTGTCTGTTGAAACTCACGCCTATTTTAAAGACTATGACGGATAACAGAAACTGGCGGTGAAACAAGTGACGATTAATAGAAGTTTTACTGTAACAATTTCCGCTAGCCCGTAAATATCCTGTGCTGTTTACGTCACCCTGGCCGCGCGGATCTCAGGTATCTTGGGTAAATTAGGTCGGGTTAGTTTGACTTATGCCACCCGCGAGTTCTTCATCTCTGTTTGAGGTATTCAGTTTGTCAGGCCTGAAGCGTGCGCTGTTATTGGCATTGTAAACCAGTGTTCGTCAACCTTTTTACACTAAATGTAATAAACAAACAGATAATGTATTGATTGGCACTCGTAGAAAGATAAAACACAAGAAAACATAAAAAGCAAAAGCTGTAGTTACCGTGCTGGGAATCTAACTTGTCAGATCTAAATAGCGTGTCCGCCTCGTTATGGAAACAAGTGCACTAAGAAAATTGTTAAATAGGCACTCCCAAAAATGTGTCTTCATTGGCCATGTCTATCGTGCAGCTTGAAACCCACAACTGTGGAATACGGACATAATTCATCTTAAACCATTGAAATGACACCATGGGTTACAGAAATGTATATTAACGAAGCACAGGTCGAATAACAAAAACAGCTACAGGTTTTAATCCTACAGATTGGAAGAGTGAAAAACTATCTACACCACCTCGTTAGATAATTCGGCGTTTTCTTCTTCGGCCCACCAGTGGGCCGCGCGCTGAAGAACACTGGTGTACACTGTATGTATGTCATAATTTGCTTTTGTCAACATCGGGGCAATGGCCTCAACAGGAAAGTGCGTTAAGAGAGTAAAACATTGTACATAAGTGTCTGGCTTGTTTTAGAAAGTGTTATTAACAGTTATTGGTAGTAGCCAGAAGAACAGCTGGTCAAGGGATTTTGGGCGCTGTGCTGTCTTGCGGGAGACCCAGGTTCGATCCTCCGTAACAAGATTTGCGTTTGTCAGGCGAAAAAATTAAACCGACTTATTCTTAGAAATCCAAAACAGCATAACCATTCAGAATAATGTTTACTAAATTATTAAAATAAAACCTAATTTCATGATAAACATTGTCTCTGCTGTCTAGCCTTCAAGAATACTCATCATAATCAGACGTCTTAAGAAGATGATATATATATATATATATATCATTTTTTAATTGAAGGATATTAAAAAAAAATTCTTGCTGAGGTTTATAAGTTCTTTATTGGAAGGCGTGGTTTTTAGACAACTGTAAACTGTCCAATTTACTGCAGGAAATTAAAGATACTTGAATACAATTCACGAAAATGCGTGAACATAGGAACTGGTATGAGACTCCCTCCAGGAGACTGTGGTGAGAATAACATTCTGCAAAGGAGTTGATACATGATGATGATAAAATTCTTCTTCTTTGCGTTCGGTTTCTCGTACAGGTGGGTTACCTCTATGAACTCGCATGTCAGCTGTAGGTCCATCATGGTTCTCCATAGCTGGCTCTGATGATAATGAAGAGAACATTACCTAATATATTTCATTGCTGGTGTTTGCCCAAAAATGTTTGATAAGTTTCGGAAAGTACAAGTCACCTACCCAAGCAGTGGCCATGCAGCTGTTGGGTCTAAGGGTTTATTTTTATTTTGCCAGTGGTAGATAAGAACTCCTGGCCTTATCAGGGATAAGAACCCTGATCTCTGATCTGTGTAGTATGCTGACTGATAGTTTATAAAGCTGCATGATCTGCAACTTTATTTCTGGAGTTGGTCATCTCAGTGTGTCATAGGCTTCTGTTAGTTTTGCTTGCACCAGAACATGTACATAAGCTTTCTTCTCCTTCTTCTGCCTTCTGTTCCCTTTCTGTCAACAGACTCATGTCAAGTCATTCTGTCCTTCCCTATTGTGTTGAGCTCATCCCATATCCTCAAGCTATTTTTATCTCCACCCTATAGCTACCTTTTTCATGTCTGTTTTGGTCTGCACTTATTTCTTTACCCCTGTGGGTTCCAGTGCTGTTTATCCACTCCCCACTGCTACCTAAAAGGTTTGATACCCAGAGATGAGAAGATCTTAATCTGAATAACAGGTCAACAGGACCTGAAGGTTTGACAGCATGAGGTTAAAGAATCTCATTGCTGGTGGCAGACCAACAGGGCAAGCCCAGATACCCTGTTCAGCCTCCAGTAAAGTTATAATTAGGGCATCTGTAATGGCCACACCAGCCCTGCAGTTCTTTGTGATATCTTGGGTTGTACTATAATGCTGCAATTTTATCTTGGGTTGTACCATAATGCAGGTTCATTATCTTGAGCTGTACCGCATGAGAGGTCACTTTAGCTTGGGTTGTACCACAACAGAGGTCATTTTAACTCAATTTGTGCCACAACGGAGGTCACTTTAACTTGGTCTACCACATCAGAGGTCACTTTAGCTTGGGTTGTACCACAGTAGAGGTCTGCTAGCTTGGCTTGTTCCACAACAGAGGTCACATGAGCTTTGGTTGTGCGACAGCAGACATTACTTTAAGTTGGGCTGTATCACAGCATCTAGTTTTTTCCATTGACTACTTGGATGTTATATTTTGCCTCTATGAAAGAAGTGAAGTCAGGAATTTTTCAGAGTAGTTATTTTCCCTCTAGGAAATCTGCTGGGAAAATCCGCTGTGGCTGAAAGAGTCAAACTTAGTGTATTGGAACATGCTGCTAAATCTAAGTAGAACTTACAAAATAACAGCCTGATATATGATCTGGAAACATATCATCTTGAGCAAAGTTTATGTTCCTGTATTGCATTAATGTTTTTAATGCAGTCGTGTGAATTCAGATGTTTTGTTTTATTAACCCCTTTTTGTAGAATTACATCCGCAGTCATTCAGAATGTGTTGTCTTGGATCCATTGCCCAGCATCCGGTGTGTCCTGGATAGATACACACAGTACCAGCGTGTGTCAACATGCCATGCTATGAGAGGTGTGTTGCTTGCTTCTTTTGAATTTGAACATGTTTTATTTTCATTTTGTTCAACATTTTTCTTTTGTTTTCTTATATTTATGTGTTTAGATATTTGAGTAAAACATGTGTTTCTTTTTCTTGGCATATCCATGCCAGAAAATAAAGGAAGAAATAGATGGGGGAACCCATAAGGGCGTAGAAACATTAAATAGATGCCTAATAAATAGATAGAAGTATACTGATCGACACTTATAAAAGGAAGTAGAAAGATAGTAAGACACACTAGATAACGTTAAAATTGAGGGCTGTAGTTACCATGCCAGAAATGTAACTTTAACTTCCAGATGATGACAGCACCCTGTTGCAGACACAAATGTACTAAGACACATGACCACCTAGGCACTCCTAAAAATGTGTCCTCATTGGCCATGCCTGTGGTGTAGCTTGAACCCACATGAATGGAATATGGACAGAATTCATGTGAAACCATTGAAATGGCACCATAGGTTATGTTCTCAAGTGTGTCCTGCTGTCTTTCTACTTCTTTTTGTGAGTGCTGATCAGATAGAGAAGTTATCTAAGAAATTATCAAGTCAAAAATATATGGTACTATTCAAACAAAGGCACATTTCAAAATAAGTTATAATAAAAGGAAACAAAAGTAAATATTACAGAAAGTTAACAAGTACAATGAATTTTTGGGTTGCAAATAATGTCTCTGTATTTTATATGGCTGTTATTTTGTAGCAGTGTCCTAATTTTATATTATTAAGTAAAAGTAAAATGTAAAGATTAGAGGATCGACTTCATTGCACCAGGTTTGATCCTATCTGACTCGGTCTGTCTCTGCAGAACAGCTAGCTGCCTGCCAAGAGCGTCAAGCAGAGCACGACCTCCAGACCTCCGACAACGATCCACAGGAATCTCCTTAAAAATTGCGCTTGTGAACTGAACGGCACCACCGTGAAACGAACACACACCCTTCAGAACATGAGGGCTGGTGTACAGTGTGGTGCAAAGACTCACACTAATCAGATCCTGTCTACATCTCTGCGTGGTCATGGTAGAAACACATTCCCTACTGGGAGCCTGGCCATCATAGATAAAATTGTTTTTTCTTTTAAAGTCAAAGCACTTCTGTCTGAGCCCGAGAGGAAAGGAACCACCAGTTTGCACACAGTAAGCCAGATCTGGAAAATAGATGTACACACAACAGAGACCCTGGAGCAAGATCAAATTTCAGACTCAGATTATCAAACAGGGCTTTTTGCTGGAGTTTACAGCACATGAAAGCAGAAGAAGTAGTAGAAATATTATTGTTAGGTGCAAGCAGCAGAAGGTATACATTTTATATACTGATCATTATCATAATCATCAAGAGTCTTTCCGACTAGCACAGGTGATCATGTACTGATAATAGTGGTCATGGTACAAACAAGTTTCCTACTTGGAGCCTGACCAGCATAGATAGAATCAATCTTTCCTTCAAATTCAGAGCCTGAGTAGCAAGGAACCACTAGTTTGCACACTGTCAGAAGTGGAAAATTTTTGTACACGCTCCCCGTGTGGGTTCCGTGGCCCTGTTATAGGGAAAACAAGAATAGACCCACTGCCTACCCAAAAGCATGTCGTAAGAGTCGACTGACTGGGAGCTTCCTTCAAAGTCGAAGTGCATTTGCCTGAGAGGCAAGGAACCAACAGTCTTCATACAAATTAGTCAGATCTGTCAAATGGATGTACACGCAACACTCAAGTTCTGGAACAGGACTGCAGTCCAGAAGTGGACGAACAACCAGACTTTCCGCCATAGTTTACAGCTGGTAAACGCGAAGAAGAAGATGTACATGCAACAGAGACCCTGGAGCAAGATCAAATTCTAGACTTAGATTACCAAACAGGGCTTTCTGCTGGAGTTCACAGTCCATGAAAGCAGAAGTAGTAGAAATATTATTGTTAGGTGCATGCAGCAGAGGGTATACATTTTATGTACTGATCATTATCATCATCATCAAGAGTCTTTCCGACTAGCACTGGCGATCATGTACTGATAAAGAGTACTGTTGTACACTTTAATGTCCGCAGATAACCGTTGTATGATTCCTGCATTTGTTCAACTGGACTCGACCAATATTGATGACAATAAGGAAAGGTTAGCCAGAGCTGGGGTCTCATTTCCTCTAGGTAATAGCCTGTCTGAATATTTATTTGCAAAATTAATATCAAAATGACAATGGTTGGCACTAAAATCTTTATTGTGAGTTACATAACTTGTCTTGATAGTGTTCTCTTGGCTGTGCAACTAATTATAATCATCGTCTTCTTATTTTCATTGCAAGTTTAATTCTGTCGCAGGATGATTTGTTTATTCAGGTTTCTGTGCATCTTTAGTCATTTAGTTTTTGTTTTTTTTCAGTTAGTCAGTCACAGGTTCATAAAAAGAAAAAAAAACAGCCAGACTATGTCTGATAATGTGTATAGCTATGCTGCATTAAGATTACAAGTGCCAAAAAAAAAAAAAATACAAAAAAAAAAAAATTTAGTGTGGTCAGTGAAAACAATTATCAAATTAATGATAAAAAGTGTTCACACATGCATACAGCTATTTGCGCAGTCCTGAAGCAATGCCAGTAAAGACATTTACAGACGACTGAACATTGGTCCTATTTTAAAGTGGAACAAAAATTAGCTAGATATAAAAAATGTCTGATGATTAACTCCTGAAAAAGTTTTCTGAACTGTTTTATTACCCAAAAAAGCATGCCAGGGCAGAACTCATGTTTTTAAAAAAATATTCACCTGTCTATAGCTTCATCTGTATTTTGTCAGTTTTCAACAAATTTTCTATGTCCAAATGTGACAGTTTTGGACAAGGGACTGTTGTTAATTAAATACCTGTCTGTGTGGATTGGTGGTGCTGTCAGCGATTTTATGGTGAACATTATGTTTGCCTGCAGATCTGAAGGTTGTGGGTTCAAATCTGAATGGAACCCGACTTTTTTCAGAAATGACCCTGGCTCCCAGCTTAGGTCCCAGCTAAAGCCCTGGGAAGTAAAATTGGCCGGCGTGATGTTCACCACGTTACCCATTCCTTTCGGCAATGCACAGGTGAAGGCTGTTGTGCCTGGTCATAATCAGCATAAGAAAGCACAGTAGCCAGTGGCTAGATTCTTGTCTGCCCATCCACATCTAAGTTTTAGGTTCAAATCTGTTAGAGCATTTATTTGTTAAATTGGCCCAGAGATCCCAGGGTCTACCTAACCTAAAATAGGTACCAGGCAATGACCTGAGCAGTAACAGCATTTGGCATGATGTAGGCCATGTCGTCCATCCAATGCCAAATTGTCTATAAACAAAATGGGTTTAGAACCGGGGTGGGCATACTATGGCTCATGAGCTAAAACTGGCAGTAATTTTTACTGGCCCACAAAGCTGATGTGCAATTACTATGTAATCTGGCCACAGATCTCACACAATAGCAGAACATGATTTATGCAAATAACCAGCTCGAACAGACACATTAAGGAATATATAGAAGGGCTTCAGTGGGTGAGTTTATCTGGCCAGAGGCGTAGCCAGGGATTGTTATCTTAGAAAATCCCACAAAATTATAGTATTACGAGGAAATCTTGTTGTTATGTTTTTAATGGATTTTTTTTCCTATAGTCTGTGACCAGGTTAGTAAATCTAAGTTAGGTCCACGGACAAAATAAAAAAGTAGCTGCCTATCTCTGGTCTGGAACCATTTGCCAGCTGTTCCAGTGAATGAAAAATGTTTTTACTACTTACATAATTTTAATGGAAGCTCAAGGGATTTGAACACATACGTATTGAGTCATCAGACAGTCTTGCTAACCACTGCACAGCTGCAGGTCTGTTAAACTCAAAAGCTGAAATAACTTTCCCTTAACTCTAGTGAGGGAACTCATGTATGTGTCTCCTTGGTTCATCATACTGATTCTGCAGAATGGATTTAAACCCATTGTATAATATATTATAGCACAAGTCATATGTTCACAAAAAATGACACATTTTAACCACTGAGGCTTGGCTCAGTTCAGGACATCTTTTATATAGCATCTGTGCATGACTACCAGCTTTATCACACCTTTAGCCAGTTTTATCACACCAAAAAAACGCACGCACACAGGTGTGAAAACACCTATATATATATTATATAAATTATTAATGTCTTTTTTAGAATGTCTTTGTGCTGGAATCCACAGAGTCAGAGTAATAAAGGCAGACCAAAAACATGCGTAGAAGTGAACTTGAGAGTAAAGTTAAAAAATTGGGGAGGACATATGATTGCAGTAGCATAGGAAAGGACAGCTTGGCTTGACTTGGTTGTGGGCCTGTGCTTTGTTAGGGGAAGGGAAGAAGATGTTTATAGGTGTAAAGTATATAATCTACATATCACATATTTACTAAACTTGTTATTATTGCAGTATGCAAACCAATACTGGCTCATGGATCTTCTTATGCCCATCAGGTATTCACTGCTTAAACATATTTAGTTTATTGCATTCTTGTGTCTTCTGCTTTAATTTAACCTTTAAGCAATTATAATTAAAAATTATATGGCCCATCTCTTTGCCATTAAAATATATTGGATATATAATTTTTAAAAGCTGTGAGAGGGAGTACCAGTCATCCACACACGCACACGCATACAGAGAGAGAGAAGGGGAGAGAGAGAGAGAGAGAGAAGGTGTGTATCCGACAGTTAAATAATGATACTGCTTTTATTATAATGACAAAAATGCCATCTTGATGCAAATCATGTCATTTTAACAGGCACCATTCTGTGATCTGGCAAAATGGTAACGTTGTGTGGTCAACAGACGACACGTAGCTTGTCATTTTGTTTAGGTAGTGAAAGTTGCATTGTTACATATGCAGTAGGAAGCCACTGGTGAACATTAATTCTGTTTTAAACTTAGAAAAATGCTCTTGAGACAGTATCTTGTGCATTAGGTGGGTTTTTTTTCAACTCTTCAGATCTGACGGAAAAGATTGAAGATTACGCTGGGCTGGGATGTCCAGTTTCTGTTTGTTATGATAAATTCATTGCTCAAAGAGTGGATATGCGAAGACTGATGTGAGACTTGCCGAAAGGGCAGATGAATATGATGTTGAATTTAACTCTTTGAGTCCTAGTGGGTTTAGCATTTCAGGCCCAGGGGGTAGTAAAGAAAGTAATAAAATCGGCGCATCATGCATTCATTGCGCTTCTAGGTAGGAAGCTATGAACGTATGATGCGTTCCTTGGGACTCAAAGAGTTAATGAAAATTTATCCTCTGCTTCATGGATGGTGTTTTGGCCAGACTCTCTCTATGTATATGTGTGCGCGCGCAAACTTGTTTATTATAGTGTTACTGAGGAGTGATTGTCTGAGTGGCTAGAATGCAAGGCTCTTATGATGAAGACCTGGATTCAAATGCTTAGTAAGAATATGGGAATTTTTTTCCCTTGTTAGGGTAAAAAAATATACATCTTATTCTGCAGTGTTCTGCACTAACTAGTCGGCTCTGTGGCTAAGTCGATGCGAACGCTTCATAATGCCAGGATGCCGGGTTTGATCCCAGCTGCGGGCCATGCGCCTTGTGTTGGTTTCGACAGTGGTATCAAGAAAGCCGACCGTCCAGAAAGCAATGGCAAACTACTGGACGTAAATTGCCTAGACGTAAATTGCCTGGAAAAACCACACAACAGCCAGAGGCTATTCGGGTTGGTTCTGCAATGTCATGTAAAGGATATGCAACCAAAAAAATCTGTACTAACTGTGTGGGGCCCTAAATCATTAGGTTCAAGACCACCCCATCCTTGACTGAAATCCATGGGCCACATAGTCAGAATAAACCCAGCATCACCTGTTGCAAGAACATACAACATGAAAATGGAAACATCAAGATGCAGAGGAAGGCAAAGAAGAATATGGATAGATGGCGTTAACAGCTTGCTGAAACTCAACAATAGCACTATGCAGCACGCTAATGTTTGAGGTTTGAACAATGGATCAACATCATGGGACATGGATAGTAACCCATAAGTGCTCCGCTCTTCTAACTCAAGTGTGAGTCCGAAGAAGCTCAGCAGAGTGCACCGGTGAGGATCGTGAAATATTGTGGGTAGATTTTCAACTCCAAATTTTGCTTGGGCAGCACCGTTAGGCTACTTTCTCCAGTTTACAACTGTCAGTGAATTTTTTACGTGCACAATAATGCACATGGGCGTCTGATCTCACTACCCAGAGACCAAGGGGAATTACTAGAGGTCCAAGTCCACGTGAAAAAATCCCAACCCTTACCGGCAATTGAACCCGCAACCTCTAGCACTGGAGGCGGTCACCATGCCTCAAGACCATGCAAACGAATGTGTACTATCCTGGAAACAGATCATAAGCTGTACTCCCAATGCCTAACAGCATTAGGCAGAAACAGACAGTAGACAGGCGGTATTACTATTCTGTTGCCCGGCTCTCTAGCATAGTTGGCTAAACCGGATTGCGCCGTGACTGGGTGATGAACTCCTTGTGGTCTGGGTTCACTCCCGAGGATAGGCAGAAAAGCCAAATTTCACCCAGATTTACGGTATTTACAATGGAATCCAGGCCGAAAGGTTGGGATATCCATAATACCGAGCCTAAGGGTTAACAACTCATGACTTGTGGATACTCAAAAAAACATGGTATTTCTATGAGTGATAAATATATATTTTTCTGCTTATATTGTTTAAATATCTGGGGGTTTTTTTTTCAGATGTCAATCATCTTTAGTGAAGAGCATCTCAAAGATATTAACCCACCTTGTGTAGCACAGTCTTTTATCAATCATGGGGCCATCCTGTACAAGATTCTGGTGATTGGTTGTAACCAGTTCATTATTCAGAGGCCGTCACTCAAAAATCTCTACCCAGGCAGTGAGTGAAAAATTATCTTTCTTTGAATTTACAATTTATTATAGTCGTTGTTTTTCTCTCCTTTAAAATTATTTTTCAACTTTTTAGGTCCCAGGGGTTTAGCATCAGAGATCCAATAGGTGGTTTTAAAAAAAAAGGATGTAAAATCAGCGCATCTTGCGTTCATTTTAGGTAGGAACCTATGAATAATATGATGCATTCCTTGGGGCTCAAAGAGTTAAGGTTTAAAGTCATGGAAATTACCTTTTTTTTTCTTGTTTTATCTTGAAAGGCATGGTCTCTTTCTGCTGAATGGCTAGTCGCCACCTGCCAAGAGTGTCACACACAGCACGTGCCAGCATGCGTTTCACGGCCCCGTTTTTTTTTGGGGGGGTGGGGGGGGCGAATAGACCTACTGCTTTCCTAACAAGCTTGTTGTACAAGGCTTAAGGGGTGTTTCCTTGAAGCTGGAGTGTATCTGCTGGAGAGGCAAGGAACCAACAGACTGCTTGCAGATAAGCCAGATCTGTAAAATGGATGTGCACTCCCTTACAGGCTGTTTAATAGTTTAGTTGTAGACTTTTGCACATCCTTACAGGCTGTTGAACAGTTTAGTAATTAACTTTTGTATCACAAGAATGACAGTATCAAGATGTGATTCACAAAACTGCAGTTTATTATATTATTTTAGCACACAACCACTAAGCTGTCATACACACATTCAGTTTATTTCATGACCTTGTTTGCAAAACTTACTAATATTCATGTGATTGTGTTTGTGTCAGACTATCCAACGATCTTCTTCGATACTCAGGAAGTGTCCAAGGCAGACTCTGACCATCCCTTAAATGCAGTAAGTTAGCAGCTTGTTTGCTAAACTGTTTATGTGTATGGGAAATTATGTGTGAGTGTATGATTCTCTTTAGACCATTAATGATCTGTTCCTATCTCTGCATTTTTCACTTGCTCCCAAAGGGCCTTGACCATATCTAGCTTGTCATGCATTACTTCCCCCTCAAATTGGTGCAGAACCAGCCAATCTATCTGCCTGTTCCTTTCCCAATACTCTTGCCTAACCTGGAGAAAATATCCAAAGAACACTAACTAACCATGTGGGGGGGGGGGGGGGGGGGGGGGGATAGTAAGCATATATTAGAATTGCACACAAAAAAGGGTTGAGTTGTATTTTTCTTTTTCTTAAGGATATCACAGACCCCTTCAGTTTTTGCCATGGACCAGGAAGGGGGGGGGGGGGGGGGGGGGGGGGGGTCACTGTCCATTAGTTGGGAACCATTGTTTTGTTGGAAAATTAAAGGCGGGAAGGATTTTGCTTTTTGGGCTACTATTCCTATCTTAATAAGCTTAATAAACACTTCACATAGATCCCATACAAACACAAATGCAATAACAGCATTTGTTTAATTTTTCAGGTGGATTATGCCACTCTGCAGAACCAACCCACAAAACCCGACTGGGTGTACCTTGACAGGCTGGGACAGAGTATGAGAGAGACAATGGAGTTAGATTTGTTTGGTTTTGATGTCATCATTGACAGTGAGACCCATCAGTACGGCATTATTGACGTCAATTTCTTTCCAGGTTGGTTTTTGGTGTATTGCTTATGAATATCTTATCCTTTTCGCCACAGTTACACTTAAAAATAGGTTATGAACTCAAGGGAATCCCTTTTTTTTAAAATGTTAAAAACAGCTTTTTAACATAGCTTACTAATACATAAAAAAAAAATGTATTTTATATCATTTGTAAATATTAACCTGATATATAGAAACATAAAGGATAAAGAGAGGTAGTAATAAATTAACATGAACACAGAGTGAAACATTAATGGAATGAATTCCATGAAGAGGTACAAATATGGGATGACTTATGAAATTCCATGAAGAGGTACAAATATGGGATGACTTATGAAATTCCATGAAGAGGTACAAATATGGGATGACTTATGAAATTCCATGACTGCATGACCTTTTTCGCTACTGGAAAATTGGACTTTACCATACCTTGTGAACGTTTAGCAAGTGTGAACAGAAACAGTAACATTAAACTACTCTTCTCAGAAACATTTCACTGCAGACATATCGTTACTTTAGCATCTGTATTATGTTGTGCAGCTTGGAGAACGGAGACCACCTCTGACTGTAAAGATCATCATCAATCAGCAAGTTTAATGTCGTTGCAGCACACCGAAAGTCTCTAGCTAGTTCTCCAACCCTATTTGCTTTCATGGCCAGTGTTTTGTGCCCACCTTTGTGGAGGTTTGTCTATGCCTCAACTGCCTGGTTTTTTTCAGGCCACCTTGATATTTAACATAACCATCATAGCTCAGCTTTTGGGATGGGACAAGATTCTGTTTATGAGCCAGTTCTAGATGTTCAACCACCCTCATACTTTACATCTAGAGGGGCCATTTTATTCAAAACTTAGAGTTATTTAATCTGTTGTGATTCTAGAAAAGTGGAAAAAATACCTAGACTTCTAAGATCACAGCAGCAATAGCAAAAAAAAAAAAAAAAGGCGGATGGGGCAGAGTGCACATTGCACATGAAACATTAAAAAACATAAAAATGTGG